AGGTTGGCTGAAAATGTAAAAATTAACAGTAAGGATTTTTTTAAGTTATATTTAAGGATAAACAAAATGTTAGGATGGGGGTAGGACCCTTGAGGGATGATAAAGGAAGGCTAGTATCTGATGATTATGAGATAGCTGGGTTATTAAATTTTGCCTTCGGTTTTTACTAACGAAGATTTAAGCAGTATTCCACATCTTGAACAGTTGATAAATGGAAATGAGATCAAACAAGATGTCTGCATTAATTCTGAGCTGGTCAAGAGAAAGCTGGGAAGTTTAAAAAAACTATAAGTCTCCTGGGCCAGATAATATTTCCCCCAGGGTTTTGAAGGAGGTAGGTTAAAGATTGAAAATGCGAGACACTTATTACTATTTTTGTCAGTCCTTGAACAGTGAGCAGGTACCAGAGGATTGGAAGTTAGCTAATGTAACTTCTCTTTTTTTAGGGAGGTGATGAAAATTGTCCCAGTAATTATAGACCTATTAATTAGTCTTACATCAGTGGTGGAAAAGTTTTGGAAAGTCTGTTAAAAGATGCTTTACAAAGTCATTTAACAAAGTTTAGAATTTTATTGGATAGTCAATATGGTTTCACTAAGGGAAAATCTTGCCTTACAAATCTTTTAACATTCTTTGAAAAGGTTTATGTAGATAGGGGTAAGGGTGTAAATTTGGTGTATCAGAATTTTCAGAAAGCATTTGACAAGGTGCCACATAAAAGGCTTGTAAAAAGAAATTAGCTCTATAGGTATGGGGGGATAAGTTAGCAAATAGGATAGAAGAATGGCCAAATAGAAGAAAGCAGAGAGTTGTTACAAATGAAGTTCAGTCAAACTGGATTAATGTTGCAAGTGGGGTACCTCAGGGCTCAGTCTTGGGACCTTTGCTTCTTTTCATTTACATCAATGACATAGATGAAGAAATAGTCAATAAATTACTTAAATTTGCGGATGATATTATGGTCTTAGGTGTTGCTAGCTGTGAAGAGGACACTGCTGATTTACAAAAGGATTTAGATCATTTAGTGAGTTGGGCAAATAAATGGCAGATGGGTTTTCATTATAATAAATG